TTTCAAACTCCAAGAAAATACCAAATTTAAAATTGACCTAATTTTAGATACCGCAGGTCCAAATCTATCGCACGAAACTGCCATTTCTTACAAGAAAGGTATCAGTGAAAAATTATTCCCAAATACTATTCTTATCTTTATGTCATCCACTCCAGTTACGGTCTTTTCCACGCTTTAATTTCTGCAGTTCACTTTTCCTTCTGACATTGTTTTCTCCAGGACTGTTTCTCCGTTCTGAGTAAAGTAAAAACGATAAAATAGATGTTAGGAACAAAGCCGATTGTTTAAACTTGTGAAGACAAATCTGAAAGGAAAATTGTTAAATCGAGATGAAATGAAGAGTTGAATTCGTGTTGACAGGCCGAAGTTTGATAAAACAGCTAGGGTAAACTCTCACAGAGACAGCGGCTCTTGAAAATTACAACCTCTCAAATAGCTGTTATCATTCCACTGTAAGTTGTAGTCTTTGCTAAAGCCATGAAGCGTTTAACCGAGGCTTCGAAACGAAATTAAACGTTAAGCGAGTTCGTAAGCGCACATGTTTAAATTCAGAGTGGCTTTTCGGAGAATTACTTCGCTACTGAAACTGAAGTAAACGCCAAGAAATATAAACTTACCGTGAATTAGACCGCTATGGAACGACATTCACCCCCTACCTTCGATATCATGTTTCTTCTTCAAAGTTTCTTCTCATGACGAACACGGCGATGTACGTCTTACAGCGTCCGCGAACTTCTCTGACTGACAAACATCACCCCGGATTCACGCGATTCATCACATAGCGACAACGCATCTTTGCATGCTTGCTCTTTTGTCTCCTATATTTTTGCACACGCATTGTCATGGAAATCATCCAAAACGTGAAGCAATCAGAAATACTTCAGCAAAAGATAGCGTTTCCGTAGAAGCTTTTAAACGGCCTTTTGAGAAGAATTCTGTAAAGATTCAACGTAAAAAATCCCTTCATTTGAGTGACAAGTAAGGATCAGTTGAAAAATGAAGGTATAAAACGCGAAAAAAAAAAAAAAAAAAAAAACGTATTGAGCAGGCAACTCTTTGGCACGTTTTATGCCGGTTTGTGTTATTTTCTCACCCTCGGAGAAAGACGTGATTCTCCTAGTGAAATTATATTTTCCTAATTATGTTTTTATATGAAAGATTTTTGCATGTCTTTATGCTAGTTTTGGTATGAGCATTCTGGATTGCTAACTTTATGAGTACCTTGAACTGAAGCTTTACTAAGCCCAGGGGTAACCATAGAAACAACTTGAATAATGCCGTGCTTTCTTTCGCAGCTTTTAAAGCTGTGACATTCTTTCTTGATCCTTTACTTGTAAAAAAAACAAAAAAACGAGAAAAATCAAGAGATTCAAAATGGAAAGGTATTTAGTGGATGAAAGGTAATGAGAAGCGCGAAAAAAGGAACGGCTAGGCTGGTCGAGGGTGAGACAAGAGGGAATGCGAAAGCTAGGGTTAAGAAAAACAGTAAACGGAACGTCAAGGATTAAAACGCAAAACGGAATAAACATGGGAACGCAAATAGGCCAAGAGAAGCAAAAAACGAAACTCAAACGGATTAAGGGCTAGAGAAGAAATAACATGCAAAAGGACCGGTCGAGGGGAACATAAAATAGAACGCAGAGGATCAAGGGAACACAAAACGGAGCACACAAGGTTTAAGGGGTAAGTACGCAAAGAGGATAGCAGATACGCAGATCTATATTACTTACGATACCTTCCGAGTTGTTTTTCTCTCCAAAAATCGTCATCAGCATCTTTGAAGTTGTTTTTAATTCATTCTACTGTCTCCGCCACTTCGAAGCAAAATTGCTTGATCTCTCCAAAATTGTCATGTAGGCCGTATTAGAGTGTCTTAGCTCTAAATCGGCCAGGGAATGAGTAATTCTGAGTAAGTACTTTTGGACTATAGTGAATTACAAGGCCCGTCTGGAACGAATTAAATTAAGGTCGACGGAAAATGGAACCCAGCGGACAACACAAATGTGCTAAAACAAACGAAATGCAAAAGGGAGCGCAATTGGTTAAGGGCAACTCAAAGCGCAAAGTAAAACGAAACGGAGAAAGGTTTAAAAGAATGCAAATAGAATTTGACGGTCAAGGATCCGTGACGGTCGTCACGGACATATCTTTCTTGACCTCACGGGACCGTCACGTGATCGTCACGGCTAATTAATTAATAGATAAAGAAGACTAAGCCGTATTATATTACACTGTGAAAAACACGACGTGGATTTGAGAACACGAGAGAAAATTAGAAAACATGAACCGCAGGCGAGTATTTTCTACACTTCTCGTGTTCTCAAATGTCCGGAGGTTTCTTCATTTGCCTTACGATACAGAGGCTAAGTGGCGAAAATTAATAAAACACGCTTTTGCTACGTTTTATATTCTAATAAAACATGGGGTTTTGATCAATTAGATCGCGCGCAGGGTCATATCTATATTATAATCACTAATAATTCATTACCCCTTCCATTCTCCGTCACGGGTCCGTCACGGAGCCATCACGGGCATAACCGTCACGTGTTTTACCAATTTTGACCGTCACGGATCCTTGACCGTCACGGGTTTCCTTACGAGTGACCCATCAAGCATTCATTTACTACGTAACCTTCCTGTGGTCTTTTCATTTCTGTTTCGAAATAGGCCCTTTGCAGCTGGGGTCACGTGACCAAATTTTTCCTAAAAATTTTTTGTATTATAGGCTATAACTTAAAGAATGCCAAAAATGGAAAGAACGCATCGAAAATACTAAAATGGCCAAGTTTGAGGGCCCAGAAATTAACGAGTACGTTTATACCACAGTTTGAATTTTCGGAAAATTTAGAGGATTTGTATGTAAAATGTTGCTGGAGGGAAAGGTCTTGCTCTCCAACAACTTTTTCCATACAAATCTTCTTATTCTTTCAAAAATTCAGACCGTCATAAAATCTCATTCTCTGATGATGGGGACCTCAACCTTGGCCGTTTTGATATTTTCGACATGCTTTTCCATTTCTGGCATTCGTTAAGTTATAGCCCATAATTTTGTGAAAAGTAGGTCACCTGATGGCTTAGCTGCACAGGGCCTATAGTCTCTATGTGGCAGGATCAACGAGAAGGCCCTGGAGACGAGGTTGAAACATGGGGCAAGGGCTTAGGACGGAAAGGGACTCGGGCGGTACTACGCTTGCGTAGCACCTTATTTCGCCCCAATCCCATCTCGTCCAGTCAATTCTCTGCGAACGCACTCGCGTATACAAACACTCTTTTTCAGTTTTATTAAGTACTACATACAACTGCCAGATTTCTTCAATCCAATCCTTTATTGTGGCAAACGTTATCAGTGGAATAACCATCTTTAAAGTATTTAAATTACACAGGCAGAAATAAATGACTCATTTCCCTACATCTATAGTTGATCATGTGGTATCGGGATTTCGAATTAAACCTTATATTAAACACTCAAGACAGTGTTTGACCACAGTTCCAAACACCTCGAAGTTCGTCAAAAATACTCCACTACGCGTCGTATTTTCAACTCTCTTCTTGGGTGCTTGGAAATCTGGTCAAACACGGTCTTTCGCGTTTGATATACTACGTCAATTAACTTCTCTATCGTGACGTTTTCACCTTATATCATTTTGTTAATGGCGCAGTTTTTGACCGTGTAGCCGAAAAGAAAATTATTTACCTCCTTGCTATACAGTCGGGGAAACAAGCATTACTTCTAGCAAATCTTCACTGAGGTCTCGTATTACCGATTCTTAGCTTCAAATCAGAGACTAGCAAGAGTGCTCACAGGTACTCCGCGAACAGTCACATCAGCATGACGTAATCACGATACGTCACGTTGCTAAGCAACTTCGGAAACGGATGTCACAGCCTTCAACTCTTACTTATTCCGCCGACTGTAAAATTGACGCAAGGAACCCTTGCAAAGTGCCTCAACCAATGACAGCGCGTTTCTTCTGGCAACCAATGAATCAGGAGCAAAACAAAAACCAATCTTGACTTACGTACGTTTCCCGCGCTTGGCACCAGACGCAAGTTTTCCCGCACTTGGCACCAGTTGTAAGTTTTCCCGCGCTTGGCACCATCATCCTATGTTACCGCGCTTGCAAAACTTGTAAGTTTCCCGCGTTTCGTACCACTTCCATGTATTCCTGCGCTTCACACTGGTTGCATGTTTTTACTTCGATTTCTGATATGGTTTACGTTTTACGAGATTCACTGGAAAACCAGTCGATTGTTATAACAGAGTAAAGTAAAAGTGATTTCAAAATTAAGATAGGCTAGTAGAAAAATGATCCACCAAACTTACACGTCGCCTATGAAAAAAGAAATGTCTTCCACCAAAGAATTGCACTGTCCTGATCCTTAAAGAGATAAAAGGGAACCATATTACAAATATAAACGCAGGTTTATTTAGTAACCCAACATTGTAGTCAGGAATTTAGACTTGGGGTTTGTGTACTGACAGTAAAGCAGTGCCAATCCATGAGGGTCTTCCAAGCTATGCTGAAATCATTTACTCACGTAAGCTGTAACATTTGCCAGGTCACTCACCTCTTGTAGTCACTTGATACAAGGCTATGCTTGTGGGCCTCTCAAACTGAAACAATTGAGACGACCAAATGATTAACTCTCGTTAATTGTTATGTAACCACAACTGCTCAATAAAAACTTCAACAAAAAAGTCACGTTCATCATCTCTATTAAAATTTTGGGTTTTAGTCTTGAATTTTAAATGCCCAAACAAAAGTGTTTTTTTACTGTTTTCATGGTTTTATTTGTGATTTTCTTCAATTTCCTTCGGTGAAATCTTTCAAAATTTTCACAGCAGATCGCATCCTTCGCGATGCGAGTCTCAAACACGAAAAAAGTAGGGTTTGAACAGGAAGTTTTTTCGATTTTTGCAAATTTACCTCTTTTACCGCTGCGAAAAAACTGGTCTTATAGATTTCCCTGAAAAACGAGCTCTGACTAAAGTAAAATATTAACTACCAGTCTGCCAAATTTTACAGGAATTTCACCGAAGTAAACACGAGGAAATTCACTGTCAGTTTTGCTTTTTGTTATCATGTTGAAGTCATAAAATATCGAAAAACATTAACGTTTTCCTTCGAGCGCGCGCAGATTACTTGAGCTTTCGTCCTCAGCGCGCGTAGAATCGTAAAACTATAGGGAGCCACCTTAGACAGTCGTTAACAACAACACTCGTCAAATCTGTATTGACCTTATAAAAACTGACTTCGAAAAAAAAAGTTTAGACAGTTTTTTCTTTGACTAGAAACACGCAAAATAAAATACTCTGCAAGGTACATACCAGTTTTCATCTTCCAGTAAACTAACAAACTTGTCAACTCGATCACGCTTTATGGTCTGAAACAAAAAAAAACATATAACGTCTTAACTGGAAAAAAAAAAATGAATTCAAAAACTTGAACAAAACGAGTGACAAAGACCTTCCTGAGAGCAACAGTGCTGTAGAAATACTACTTAGTTGAACATAAACGATACCTGGACAGCCATCTCTGCCATCATGAGGAGTTTCTTTATGCCCACGAACAACCTAAAAAAACAAAATTGTGAAGTTCAATGCAACTGCAAGTTATATAATTAGAAATGGCAATATTGCATGTTGTTGCCATGGAGATGTAACTGTTGCTTAGCAAAGTCCCCCAATGAAAATTTCCGTCTCAATCAAGGCAATCAATTGCTTACAACAGTAAAAGATTTTGTTCTGTTAATTGTCATACACGAGTCACGAGTCAAGTTAGATTTTCCTGTTTTGGGTCTTTTGGTTTTAATTTCTGTGTAAAAATGTTGTACCCGAGGGACAAGAACGGCAAGATTTGACTCTTTTTTCACTGCCGATTGGGAGAGTTTATTCATGAAGAAGTCATTTATTAATTTTCCTCACAGATTTCGAGCTCTAATACTAACATAAAACTGAGGCACAGGAGACAATGTGTCCAACCCATGGAGGACATTGATTTTCTGTAAAACACTTAGTTTTATGGAAAACGCTTCTCCGCAAAATTAATAGACTAATAGCAGGTCAGCGAGAAAGATAATATTGTTTCAAACTGCAAAACGAAATCTTAGCTGTGGAAAACTGTTTCGTGTCAAACGATATCAAATATAAAAAAGAAAAGGTGAAAAAAAAAGTTGACTCGAACTTGACTTGTGCTACGATTAAACTTACCCAAAGCAAACGAGGAAGAATTCATTGGATTGTTTCATACCTTCTCTGGCCAATGTTTCTCTCAATTTGCCTAATTTCATCTTCATCAAACAACTTCACATGCTGCAACAAAATATTGTATTGTTACTGGTTGTTTGAATGCAACGCAATCCATGACTCATCTGGCCTGTTCGATCAAAGAATTGAATTGTACATCAACTTTTCTTGTGCAGCAAAAACGTCTTTAATTTTGAGCACTTGCTCGAGTCAATAGGCGAAGGATCAGTTCAACGCTTTTCCAGCTACTTTGTTCACAATGGTCGGGCAAATATCGCCCCAATCGCGGAATGCCCTGGTCAGTTAAATAATCACAAAATGTTCACGACCCATTGACTGCCTTACAGGCTGAGCGAGTGAATTTGTCCCCAGCTAACTGCTATAACTCTCTCGCAGCTTCGCATTCACTAGTTAAAAATAGCTCTGTAGTGTTCAAGATTAACTGCCGCTGGAGAGTTTGGTAGAGAACGGAAGTTTGTGTCAATAACTTCATGTCCTCCCAAGCTAAATTGTATGTAGACTGGCAAACCGTTTCAATTCATGGATCATAGTGTATTTGATGTCAGGAACGACTCATATGAACATTAAGAAACAGCATGTGTAAACTAACCTGCAGCACTTCTCTGAGTTGGTCGGTGGACGAGAGAGAGGGAACATGGATCACAGTGTTAAATGACTCAACAATGCCCATGGTTTCCAACACCTCTCGGCTGCTGGTTGTCCCAATGACGATTAGCTTGCGACCCTAGAGGATGGAAAAAAAAAGAAAAAAAATGGAGTAATCAGTGTTGTTTTCTTCACAAGTGCCATGCTGTCGTTATCGTTATCATAATTTTCAATGTCAACGTAATTGTGATTGCCATTGACGTCATCCTCAGTGTCGTTGACGTCATCATGAAAACCATTTAAAACATCATCGTCATCATCATCACGACCACATTATTCTCATTGACGTCATCATCACCATGGTCTTCATCATTGACATTGACGTCATCAGCATCCTCACGCAGCACTTGGGGAGAAGCGTTGCGTGACAACCCTAACAACGGCTGCCAAGCAGACTACCATTGAAGTGCACTGTAAAATGTTATCCCATGTGGCAAGTTACTGAAAAGCGCCACCTCTCGTGCCTCAGACAATGACACAAAAGAGGGCCGAGTCCTCTAAAAACGAGACGATAATCATAAGATCATAGCCTAGTTAGTGTGTAGGGATAAACTGGTTACGCACCTTCCTTAGCTTCTTCTTAAGTAACACAAGCAAGGCTTGAAGGACCGTGTTAGAAAACCTTGGTCCAATGGCAACGTAGTCTGAAATTTGTAAAGCAAATAAAATTCACAAAGTAAATCACGCAGTTGCACTGGTAATGTTTAGTAAGGTGTGATGAACAGCGAAACTACATTTTCGTTTTACTAGCTGCCCCTGAGGACAGGAAGTGTTATGGGGGCTGACTAACGCTGTTTTAGGCGCTGCTGTAACGTAGATCACGGTGGTTCGTACCATTGTTGTCACGCAAGACCACATGAAATGAAATCTAAAGATGTGGAAAGAAACCACAAAACCAAAACGAACATTTTTAAAGAGACATCTATTAACCTTGCAATAAATAAGGATACATACCTAACAGGCGTTCTATATCATCAACAATGATACAACTGAGGTCTGACTTGTCCGCATCGTCAAAAATCTATTTAAAAAAAGACCACACATTAAACAATGTATCGAAATAGGTCCCACAAACAATACACAGGAAGCGTTTTAGCAAGGATGTCTAGCTGATTAAGGTCGTGTTCTATTGGAATCAACCGTTTCTGGTTGGTTGAGCTGGTTGGGTTGTTTCGTGTTCTGCTGAGGAAAAACCGTTTTCGGCTGGTTTGATTGGTAAACTACTGTATTTCAGCTGGCCTCAAATCAGTTTGAAACGGTTAAAATAGCATTTGCGTGATTATGTCACGTGATTACGCAAAAGGGTTGTTCCCAGGAGTTACCGCGTTTCAACCGAAAACCGTTGGAAAAGTGTTCTATTGAGAAACGTTAACCATCTCAACCAAAAACAGTTGCGGTTGAAACGGTTTATCCCAATAGAGCGCGATCTCAAATTGCTCTGGCACACATGTGTACCACTAAGTTCTTGCAGTGTATAATCTGCAGAGTATAAGGTGCTACTCGCCTTTTTAATAGTTTGACATTTTGCACTTTCGACAAAACCAATCATGTGCTCTGGTGAACACATCTTGATGAAGGGGAAGTCTGAAAAGAGAGCCATCTGCACCGCGAGTGCTGTCTTGCCACACCCGACAGGACCTACAATCAACATCTACACGGTTAACTTCCTAAGAGATAAATGTTTTGTTCATAAATTTCTTCAGTCTGGGATTCTGTTACAATGTCCTGGTGATCAGAACAATTGAAAACCACTGTTTCTACTCAAAGATGGTTTCTTGAGTCTAAGTTTCTTCCAAATTATTTTATAGGTATTAATTGTTTTCTATTGTCTAAAGAATGCCTTATATACTTGCAATGATTACCAACCGCAAAGAAGCTTCATAAAATGAGCTTTAACTGCCCTACGCACCTTCCAATAACACAGTAATTGGCGAGGTGATATCTTGGGTTCTCGTTTGCTGCAACAACAATTTCCCATCATCCAATATACGCTCCACTTGGTTGCCCCAGCGGATAATTCCTAACAAACGAATGAAACGAAAAAGAATTACTTGACAAACTAGCTAGATGTGTAAATAGACAGAGGCATATATAAATGGAACACAGAAAGGTCCGTGGCAAAAAAATTGTGGACTACAACAAAGACAAATCACAAAGAAAAAAACAAAGTTGTCTTCGTAGTAAATTTTGGGTATATTCTTTTATGATATAGATAGGACCCTGCGCGCGCTCTGATTGGTTAAAAACCCATGTTTTGTCAGAGTATAAAACAAAGAAAAAGCGTGTTTTATTGTTTTGCTCGTGTAAAATCTATATCATAAAGCAAATGAAGAATCCTAAGCCGTGTTTTGCACTGTGATAAAACACTCCGGACATTTGAGAACACTCGAGAAATGTAGAAAACAATCGCCTGCGGCTCGTGTTTTCTACATTTCTCTCGTGTTCTCAAATACCCGTCGTGTTTTATCACGGTGTAATACACGGCTCAGGCTTCTTTATTTGTTAAATAAACGTCTGTTACATCTAGTTGGAATTACTTGAAAGGAAGCTGACACCATTAGTAGCTTAGGAGAAAGACCTATAGAACTGCTTGTCAGAGCCATTCTATTCGGAAAACAAACCGCAGGCTTTATAGCTACGACCTCCAGTGACAATCAAGTAAGCTGATTACACTGTTACAGTCTTTACTGTTCAAGAGCATCTACAACTTGCATATTAATTAACAGCAGGAATTCTTCACTTATCTACTCACCATTAGCTACATAAAGATCGAGATTGTCATCAGAAGGTCCGAATGCCTACAATACAAAACAACACAAACAATTTAGGAAAAAAAACTGTACAATTTAAGTACAAAAAAAGTAATCTACATAGTGCTCACAAGGTGAAAAACCATTTTGCTTTTGTGTGAGGGCCTACTGTAGACATGATACAAATTTCTGGTTTTCTACAATGGTCTCTCGCAAAGAACATATGTAAACCAAATTTTTTTTTCCAAATTATCTCCTTGACTTTGGGTGACTGATACGTTATTGTTAGCGTTGATTTTCTATTTGATAAGATTTTCGCCAAGATCCCCTCAATCTTGGCCAATTATAATAGCCATCAGCATTTTAATAAATAGAGCACTTTTTCCGTGTTTACATAGCCTCGTCTAAACACGAGGCGGGGTTGGAGAATTCGAGACGACTATGCAACCCCGAGATGCAGTCGAGGGTTTGTATAACTTTCGAGAATTCTCCCAACGCCCTAAGTGNGCAAGGGCTTAGGACGGAAAGGGACTCGGGCGGTACTACGCTTGCGTAGCACCTTATTTCGCCCCAATCCCATCTCGTCCAGTCAATTCTCTGCGAACGCACTCGCGTATACAAACACTCTTTTTCAGTTTTATTAAGTACTACATACAACTGCCAGATTTCTTCAATCCAATCCTTTATTGTGGCAAACGTTATCAGTGGAATAACCATCTTTAAAGTATTTAAATTACACAGGCAGAAATAAATGACTCATTTCCCTACATCTATAGTTGATCATGTGGTATCGGGATTTCGAATTAAACCTTATATTAAACACTCAAGACAGTGTTTGACCACAGTTCCAAACACCTCGAAGTTCGTCAAAAATACTCCACTACGCGTCGTATTTTCAACTCTCTTCTTGGGTGCTTGGAAATCTGGTCAAACACGGTCTTTCGCGTTTGATATACTACGTCAATTAACTTCTCTATCGTGACGTTTTCACCTTATATCATTTTGTTAATGGCGCAGTTTTTGACCGTGTAGCCGAAAAGAAAATTATTTACCTCCTTGCTATACAGTCGGGGAAACAAGCATTACTTCTAGCAAATCTTCACTGAGGTCTCGTATTACCGATTCTTAGCTTCAAATCAGAGACTAGCAAGAGTGCTCACAGGTACTCCGCGAACAGTCACATCAGCATGACGTAATCACGATACGTCACGTTGCTAAGCAACTTCGGAAACGGATGTCACAGCCTTCAACTCTTACTTATTCCGCCGACTGTAAAATTGACGCAAGGAACCCTTGCAAAGTGCCTCAACCAATGACAGCGCGTTTCTTCTGGCAACCAATGAATCAGGAGCAAAACAAAAACCAATCTTGACTTACGTACGTTTCCCGCGCTTGGCACCAGACGCAAGTTTTCCCGCACTTGGCACCAGTTGTAAGTTTTCCCGCGCTTGGCACCATCATCCTATGTTACCGCGCTTGCAAAACTTGTAAGTTTCCCGCGTTTCGTACCACTTCCATGTATTCCTGCGCTTCACACTGGTTGCATGTTTTACTTCGATTTCTGATATGGTTTACGTTTTACGAGATTCACTGGAAAACCAGTCGATTGTTATAACAGAGTAAAGTAAAAGTGATTTCAAAATTAAGATAGGCTAGTAGAAAAATGATCCACCAAACTTACACGTCGCCTATGAAAAAAGAAATGTCTTCCACCAAAGAATTGCACTGTCCTGATCCTTAAAGAGATAAAAGGGAACCATATTACAAATATAAACGCAGGTTTATTTAGTAACCCAACATTGTAGTCAGGAATTTAGACTTGGGGTTTGTGTACTGACAGTAAAGCAGTGCCAATCCATGAGGGTCTTCCAAGCTATGCTGAAGTCATTTACTCACGTAAGCTGATAACATTTGCCAGGTCACTCACCTCTTGTAGTCACTTGATACAAGGCTATGCTTGTGGGCCTCTTTTAAAACTGAAACGATTGAGACCAAGTTATTATGACTCTCGTTAATTGTTATGTAACCACAACTGCTCAATAAAAACTTCAACAAAAAAGTCACGTTCATCATCTCTGTTAAAATTTTGGGTTTAAGTCTTGAATGATAAATGCCCAAACAAAAGTGTTTTACTGTTTTTATGGTTTTATTTGTGATTTTCTTGATTTTCCTTCGGTGAAATCTTCCAAAATTTTCACAGCACATCGCATCCTTCGGGATGCGAGTCTCAAATACGAAAAAAGTAGGGTTTGTACAGGCGGTTTTTCCGATTTTTGCAAATTTACGTCTTTTACCTCTGCAAAAAAACTGGTCTTACAGATTTCCTTGAAAAACGAGCTCCGACTAAAGTAAAATATTTACTACCAGTCTGCCAAATTTTACGGAATTTCACCGAAGTAAACACGAGGAAATTCACTGTCAGTTTTGCTCTTTGTTCTCATGTTGACGTCATAAAATATCGAAAAACATCGACGTTTTCCTCCGAGCGCGCGCAGATTACTTGAGCTTTCGTCCTCAGCGCGCGTACGATCGTAAAACTAGGGGGAGCCACCTTAAACAGTCGTTAACAACAACACTCCTCAAATCTGTATTGACCTTATAAAAACTCTGACTTCGAAACTTCAAAAACTTGAACAAAACGAGTGAACAGACCTTCCTGAGAGCAACAATGCTGTGGAAATACTACTTAGTTGAACATAAACGATACCTGGACAGCATCTCTGCCATCACGAGGAGTTTCTTTATGCCCACGAGCAGCCTAAAAAAACAAAATTGTGAAGTACAATGCAACTGTAAGTTATATAATTAGAAATGGCAATATTGCTTAAAAATGCAGTTATGTCCTGTTGTTGCCATGGAGATGTAACTGTGACTTTGCTAAGTCCCCCAATGAAAATTTCCGTCTCAATCAAGGCAATCAGTTGCGTACAACAGTAAAATATTTTGTTCTGTTAATTGTCATCCCGATGGGGAGAAATCCGATACAAGATGGCCGCCGCGCAATCGCACGGGTATCAAGTTTGGTCTTAGATTTCAAACGCGTCGCTAATTTCGTAACAAAGAAAACAGTGACAATTGTACTAACCTTCGTTTTCTTTTTGCCACTGTGTTTTAACCGCCGAACATGAAAAGTTTTCTTTTATCTTTAAATAAAGTCATAGATGTGTTCAAACCTTCGATTCCTCCTTTAGGTGTTTTCGACGTTGTTTAAGCGGTTCCCTGAAGCTGTTTCTTTTGCACATAATAATCCTTTAATTGTTCTGCCATACTTCTTAATTACACCCGGAGAGTGCACAAAACTGCCAAAGCTTAACCACTTTGTACAATTCCTGGAAGTTTTTCTCATATCTGACTGTTTTGTTTACATGCGAAACTTTAGTTTTCATCCAGATTTACGACTCATTGATGGCATGAAACTGGTTCCAAACTCGGAGAAAGAATCTCTCAAACATTGCTGAGTAGGACTGAGAGGGAAGCCATTTTTAAAGCGCCAGGAAAACACTGCAAATCGCCATGTGCGGGCATCTATTGGTCATTGGCATTGAATTACTCGTAAGAGCTATCAAAAATGACGACAACATAAAAGGCATTAATTTAGGTGAGAAAGTGATTAAAGTCTTTCTATATGCAGATGACACTACTGTTTTTGTTCGAGACCTTGATTCCGTTGCCCATTTGCTAACTCTACTTCAAAAGTTTAAAAACTTTCCGGTTTGGAAATCAACACAACAAAGACTGAAGGAATATGGCTTGGGCTCTTGGCTTTCGCTGGCCACGGGATCCAATAAAAGCTCTTGGTATTTTCTTTTCTTATGATGAAAACAAAACCAATGAATTAAATTTTGCAGAGATAATCAGGAACTTAGAAAAGACCTTGAATAGTTGGAAAAAGAGAAATCTCGCACTTCACGGAAAAATGAACATAGTTAAAACGTTCGGACTTTCTAAATGAACTTGTAACGCGTCTGTTCTTGTCATACCTGAACATTCTATCAAGGAAATTGAAAAACTAATTTTCGACTTTATTTGGGATGGGAACCCGGCGAAGACAAGAAAGTCAACTATCATAGGAGAGGAAAAACAGGGCGGACTCAAGGTGATCGATTTTAACATTATGAATAAAGCATTAAAAGTTGCTTGGATACCACGTTTACAAACCAGGTCTGACGCATCGTGGAAAATCATCCCTGAAGCCGCGCTTGAAAATCTCGGGAGAATATCATTCCTTTCACAATGCAACTACGACGTCAAGTTCTTGCAATTGAACAACCTCCCAGACGTCTATAGTGATATCTTAAAATATTGGCAAAACACTAGGTCTGCTTTTCAAACGAATTCTTTTCCCCGCAACGAAATAATTTGAAATAATCACAACATAATAATAAGCAATTATTGGATGAGGTTTTTGTGATATCCGGAATAAGCAAGGTCTAGGTAAGTGTTATCAGCCGAAGCCGAGGGCTGAGGCTGATAACACTAACCGAGACCTTGATTATTTCTCATATCACAAACACCTAATCTAATAATTGTTTTATTATACATTGTTTCAAAGAAAATGACGACAAACGCATTATCGCACCGAACACAGTTTATTTTCGACAAGCCATGTTCTTACTTTGCTGTCCGTGAACTCAACACTGCTCTTGATAATCATGCATTGCGCGCACAAAATACGGATTATTCAGTAATCTGCTAGGAGATTGGAGAATAATCTGCAGGTTGCGCTGTTTTCCAGAATGAACTGTGGGCTTTTAGCCAATGGGAAGACAGATGGTGACTACAATGTATAATAATAGATGGTAAAGCACCTTTTTATAAAAGCTGGCTAGAAAAAAAAACATCTTACGGGTTGAAGATCTCCTCGACAATAACGGTAACTTCCTTCCTTTCAATCTTTTCTCTGAAAAATTTCATCTCGAAACCTCCTTCACTCTTTATTTCGGCTGAATTAATTCTCTGCTGACCCCTTGGAAGCTGGTAGTAAAAAGGACTCCTCCGCACGTAACGGAAAATCACAACAACGCAACAGAAATTTCCACCACTCTATTATGCTAAAAAAGGTCTTCATATTCTAAACCACCGAGAGCAAAATTATTAGATATGGTTTTACTCAAGATAATATTCACAGAGTGTACGAACTACCTGTCCAGATAAAAAAAACACAAGATAAAAACGTTTCAATAGATGATTCACAATATTCTTTCAACAAAAGTCAGTCTCTTTAAAGCCAAGATATGTGATGATGAAATATGCCCCAATGTCTTGCTGAGAGGCATCCCTTAGATCATATGTTTTTGCGCTGTCAATTAACTTTATCCTTCTGGGACGTATTCCAAACATGGCGGACTAGCTAAACTAACGAAAATGTCACATTAACAGAGAGCATGATTCTGTATGGAATTTTTGACAATAGAGGACACTTCCTTAAATAACTCACTTCTGATAGCAAAGTACTCCATATATAGTAGCTGCTTACAAGAAAAAAAAACAACTTTGTTTTGACAGTTTTCTCACGTTTCTAAGAGAGAAAAAAATCAATACATAACGGGAAATTGCTGTTCGTAATAACAACATTACATAATTCAAGACTATATATAGATTTCTTTTGTAAATTTTTGTTTTTCATCTTTTGGCTGTACTTTTCTTTTCTTTTTTTTTTTACGTGTACTAACCCATAGATTTATGTGAAATAGCGAAGCAGCTCAGTGAACAAAAAATATATTGTTAAGTAAGTAGATACGTACTTAATATTCTAAACTGTATGTGAAGTAGTTAGCTAACCAAAAAAGAATTATTGTTAAGTAAATAGATACTTACTATACATTGTAAACTGTTTGTAAATTAAAAAANGCTGTTCGTAATAACATTACATAATTCAAGACTATATATAGATTTTTTGTTTTTCGTCTTTTGGCTTTACTTTTCTTTTCCTTTTTTTTACGTGTACTAACCTATAGATTTATGTGAAGTAGCGAAGTAGCTCAGTGAACAAAAAATATATTGTTAAGTAGATACGTACTTAATATTCTAAACTGTATGTGAAGTAGTTAGCTTACCAAAAAAGAATTATTGTTAAGTAAATAGATACTTACTATACATTGTAAACTGTTTGTAAATTAAAAAAATAAATTAAAAAAAAAAAAAAAAAGAATCACGGCTAAATTTTCCCGCGAAAATCCTATTCACATTCAACTGCACCAAATAGACACCACCTCTGACGTCTTTCCTCGACCATATGCATCTCGTTTGCGCGCTAATAATTGAAGCTAATTGAAAAAAATCTGACCCACCACTTGCACTGCTAGGCGATTTTTCTGATCCGAAAGAACAGTTAATGTTTTCGAAACAAAGGAGAAACCTTTAAGTAAGATCGACATCGTGAATTCCTGTCGTCTGATCTTTGAATCTGTAACGCATCACACCTTCCGAAATAGAGAAATCGATGTAAACAAGGGGTTTGCAGAAGTCCCAAGATTAAATTTCGGGTAAAGCTTCGTTCACTATTAACTTGCAGTTTGTTCTATACAACAGCAAAAAAGACCAGCGAACTGAGGATGCATTTTGTTTTTCCATGCAGCGTGACGTTAAAAATAGAATTTTTGCGGGAAAATTTAGCCATGATTTGGCGAGTTTGAAATGTTTACATAGGTTACTAGCGATATCAAAGCTTTAATATTATATTCTGCAGTCCAACTAACTCGTTTGTACAGATCTTTCAGTAAATCATAGATAACAATCGCAGAAAGTGGGAATAAGGTGATATTGTTCACCAAACATATGGCGGGAAATATTTCTGACTGATGATTTTTTGGACTTTGCGAGACCAATTACTACGATTTGCCAGTAGGTACCAATTTAACTAAACTGGATATTGATAACAGTGCAAAAGACTATCACAAAAATGTTTTTCTGTGGTAATAAACTGCCGCACGTTTGAAAAACGACCCGCTGAAAATGGCTAAAATTTAAGTCATGCCGATCAACGATTCGGCGGTGATATTTGGCACCTCGTGAAAACCGTAGAATTTAAGCATAAGACTTCAAATATATCTCAGTCAACTAATAAGGGGACCAATATTATCGCACGAAAATAAGAGTTTCTGGAATTTGTGCGAAGCATCTTTTCGGCTCACCTCAAGTTGCCCGAAATTTCGGCCATTTTCGACCGCTTGAGAGGCCAAAATCATGATTTGAGGATTTATCGAAGAAAAACCAACGCCTACCTTGGCAAATATCATGGTTGTTGATCTTTTCGGAGAGCTTTTATATTGTGAAAAGATGAAGGTAAACGGCCGACCCCGATCTTTTGGTCCTGCCCGGTTTTCTCTGACAATGACACTGAAAACATCACGCTCAAATTCTCTGGCACAGTTAATTGTGCTATGCCCTTTCAATATTCATAACTAATATCTTTGTAGCTTTATCAGAAACTGAATCGGTTATGCTTGTGAGGCAAGTGTTGGAAGCAAAGATTCCCTTATAGTCGAGAGAAAAGCCCGAGCAAGAACCTCGAAACTAGTGATGTATAGCGCTAAAAGTCAGAGATTTGTGACATTATAAGTTAGCGTCAAGGAAATATAACGAAACAAATCAAAACATATCCTATTGGTGGAAATTCAGCTTTTCCAATACAAGGTTTCGAGAGAAGAGCAGTTTGGACGGTTGACGGCAGAAAAACTTCAAGTTTTCTTTCACAAAACTAACGAGTTTTATTACAAATCAAGATGTTTTGCCGGGCACAGAAAATTTTCAAGTTTTCTTTCACAAACCTGATGAGTGTTATTACAAATCACGATCTCTTTACTTGTTTAGTTTGAAGTTAGTTGATGAAAAGTTGCGATTTTCTTCTCTTCCACTCTTGGGTTGAAATACAAATTGCTCCAGCTCGTCTTCGCTTTCCGAATCTTGTTCCCTGAGAATCGATGTTGTCGCTGCATCTATGTCGGGAAAGCGCAATTCCGCAAGTGCTGTCTTTTCACTGAAACTACCAACTTCATGACTAAGACCCGTAGAGGAATTTCCCTCTGATGTCAATGTAATCGTGTGTTCAGTGTTATTTTTACTCGCATCTTTGTCTTGTTCTTGTTTTGATTCGAAATTGCAAGAATTGTTAGCAGTTTTACAGCTAAGAGTGTTCGAATCTCTGTACTTCGTAACAACGTTGCATTTTTTTGCCTGTAAACAACTGTTTCTTGTAGACGTATCCTCTGTTAACGTGTTTTCAAGAAACTTCGGAGAACTAGCCTCTTCATTGTTCGCTTGAATTTTATCTTTAGCCCTCAGTGCTTTTCTGAGCAGGTCAGTGGCAGTATGAAATTCCTCCTGTTTCAAAAGACAGAACAATCATCTTTCACTTTAAGACTTGTTTAAGACTTGGACTTGGAAAGTAATGAGGCAATTACAGTTGGAACCCGCTCATTCGAACTCCGTTATTTCGAATTTCCCGATATTTCGAACTCAAAACCATTTCCCTTGGATTCCCCCCTTCAGTCATTTACTATCGTTTAGTTCAAACTCCCGCTATTTCGAACGATTTTTCGTTTCCACTGCGGGTTCGAAATAGCGGGGTTCAACTGTACTTTGGTTTTGGTTTTACTACGGTTTGAGATTGACTGAGTAGTCTAATTGGTAAGTAGAGCGATTTTAAATTGAGTGTGGTAAAACCAAAACCAAAACAATTACTTATCAATTAGACTACTCAGTCAATCTCGAACCATAGTAAAACCAAAACCAAAGTAACTGCCTGATGACTTTCCCAACTCAATAGGTCACTTTCGACATTCAGCTTGAGGTACCAAAAGAGGTATGCTTTCGAAATTCAGGCTGATAGTGAGGTCTAGAGGACACAAACAAAAGAAATAAATCAAAATGTCATTCAATTCCCTTCAACTGTCCTCTAAGCCTCACTGCCAAGCTGAATTTTAATATATTGAAAACAGTCTACTGAAAACAGCTCTCAAATTGGTTTGGTTTTGGTTTTATGACACTCAATTGAAAACCGCTTTATTAAATTCAAGATGACAAATAGCTCTGATGGTAAAAACAACACTGATTCCGACAGCAAAAGGTGCGTTCTTACCTTCATAAGTTGTTGGTCAAGGGACGGCAAGTCACAGCCCACATAAGCATCATTCATGACACAGTACTGGAGAAGACAGCACCAGTAGGGATCCTAAACGACATATTAAATCTGTTACATAAAGGAACAACTCCAAGTGCAAGTTAACTTGAGCTAGAGACCCATTCACTGATTCATGCGCGCGCTCGCCCGCGTTGCTAAGGAGGTCAAATTTCACTTGGGTCAACCTGAGCGCTGGAAATTTAAACAATTCGAAAACTTTCAAATTCGGCTACATTTTAGACGTTTTTTCTTTGTGTTTCACAAAATTCAAGGTAACAAAGTACAAGCAAACACAAACTAAAAGAAAAAAAAAAAAAAAAAAAAAGATTTATATATATATCTCCTGCACGCCTTGCGTCCGTATGTTTCAACTGTGTCTTAAAATCCAACAGCGTTGCTATTTTTTTCAATTTT